CGCTGAGGGACAGCGAGCCGGCAATGGCCGARGATCCCGAATCGGGAACCTCGCTGCCCGCGCTCCCCGCCGCCTTTGCAGGCCGCCAGTGACGAGGCGTGGCTGTGACTGTGCCGCGCTCACACTGGCTGAGAAATCYATGGTGGCTCCGCGTTCCGCTGCATTATCACCGAATCACGGAATGAGGCGAGTTGGAAGGGCCCCACGTAGCACCATCTCCAAGAATCACGGCGTGTGCCCAAGGGCTCTGGACTCTGTCAGGCTGGTGCAGTTACCACTGCCCTGGGGAGACTGTTATACTGCCCAGCCACCCTTTTCCTAGTTTTGAACCTAAACCCCCTGACACAGCTTCAGGCCATTCCCTTGGGTCCTGTCGCTGGTCACCAGAGAGGAGATCAGGGTCTGCCCCTCTCCTTCCCCTAGCAAGGGAGTTGTAGACTGCAGTGAGGTCTCCCCTCAGTCTCCTCCGGGCTGAACAAAGTGACCTCRGCCACTCCTCATAGGGCTTCATCTCAAGGCCTTTCACCATCTTCATTGCCCTACATTGGGTGCTCTAATAGTTTAATAGCATCTTATATTGTGGTGCCCAAAACTGCACACAGCGCTTGAGGTGAGGYTGCCCCAGCCCAGAGCAGAGCAGGACAATCCTCTCCCTTGCCTGGCTGGCRATGCTGTGCCTGATGCACCCCAGGATGTGGTTGGCTCTCCTGGCTGCCAGGGCAGTGCTGGCTCATGTTCAACTTCCTGGCAATCAGGACCCCCAGGTCTCTTTCCTTGTCACTGCTTCCCATCCTCTCATTTCCCAATCTGTCAGTGCATCCAGGGTTGCCCATCCCAGGTGCAGAATCTGGCATTTTCCCTTGTTGAATTTCATACATTTGGTGATTGCCCAGTCCTCTAATTTGTCAAGGTGTCTCTACAGGGGGAACTTCCTGCCTTTGACAGAGTCAACAGCTCCTCCTTTCTGCAAATTTGCTTAGTATCCCTTCCAGTCCTKTGTCCAGCTCATTAATGAAGGTGTTGAAGAGCACAGAGCCAAKGATAGAGCCCTGCAGAAYCCCACTAGTGATGGATCTTCAGACTGATGTCACCCCATTCACCATAACCYTTTGTGCCTGACCTCTGAGCCAGTTGCTCACCCGTCGCATGATGTGTTTCTCCAGCTGTGGGYTGGACATTTTATTCAGGATAATACGACATAAAGTACTGAAAGGTTTACTGATTATAACCTGTAAGACCTTTCTGCCCTGGCTCCTCTTGTGTGGAAGCAAACATAGGATACATTCTTTACTGGAGGTGGTATCCTTATTTCATTGATGGGCTCTTGAAAGAGAATGATACTACTTTTCCATAGGAAGGAAAGCACATAGCCTCAGTGTTTCAGGTGTAGATTAAAGGCTGCCAAAGGGACGTAATAGCCAGTATTTCACTATCATGATTCCCCTTTTCATCCAGAACGCCCTTGTGATTAGTAATGCAGTCTTATTTCCAGTCTAAGTTTATTCAGGTCCTGCTTATTCTTCTAGCGCCAAYATTACCCTGTAGTTTAAACAACTCTCACCTACTATCATGGCTATTTGCTATAAGAGAATAATATAAAAGAGTAGTTTTATCCTCAACAATTTCATGTCACTCACCTAATGGTCTCCCATTGCAGGATAGCCTTTCTGTTTGCTCAGTCATCCTAATGTCACTTTTACCAATGTTTTTGCAGATGTTGCAGTTTCTACCCTGTATGCATTGTGTTTAAAATATACATGGTTTTACTCATCTGAGCAGCTGTGGATATCCCGGTACATATGSTCACTAAAGGTTTTTAAAAGAACGTTTTCTTTGAGCTTTGAGTGCTGATGAAACTTACCAAAGGAAACAGATGATGCTGTTTTAGAGAACAGGACAATTAGCAGATGATGTACACTAAAAAAAATGTTTGGGCTTTCCAGAACAGACCTTCCCACTGAAGTTTGTAAGAAGCACATGGTTACATACAAAATGTTTTATAGATTATGGCCAGCTAAATGTGATTAAGTTCCATGTGGAAGCTAGACAGCGACAGAAATGGCGGAAGTCTCCTTATGTGATATTATGTTTACAGGGCAGCACAACTGGTTTGTCCAGTCAAGGTGCCAAACATAATAATATTTTTATTACTGGGCCCAGTTATTAAAGACCTTTTCTGAAAACAAGATGTTCTGCAAGTCCACAGAGGAGTCAAATTTTGTAATGAAAGTGTAATTTCTGCCAAGTGCCCTGTTCTGTTTTCAGAAGCACACAAGCTGTACTCTGGCTATGTAGTAGGGATCGTGGACCATCTAGCTACTAATACTAACAGGTTCATTAGGGTTATCCTACAGGTCAGCTGTAGTAATTTTCATCAAAATTTACTGCTTCTTTTATGTATTTCCTTTGATTCTGTTTTTGATATGCATACTTTCAGTTGTTTTAAATTATTATCTGCGCCTGGAAAAACAGTTCCCTTAGTTAAACATTCTTATAACCTTTCTAAATATATTCCTTAGCCTATTTTCCTTTAATTTATTTTTTTCTCCAGTCTTCTCCAAATTAAAAGAAAAAGAAATCATTGTTTCTTGTATTAACTACAAAGTATGGAAAATACTCTTTTCTGAAATTAATTTTTCCTGTTCCATGTTCCTTTTCATGTTTTTAGCTTGTTTGTTTTTGTTTTTTTTTTTTTTTTTTTAATATTTGAGAATATTTTTAATACTTAACTTTTTTTTTCTTTTTTTGCAAGACCTAATTGTATATTTTAAAGGAAAAGAACTAGCTGTGAGAGATTCAGATTTGTGTAATCTACCTTAGAACAATGCTTTTTACTACTATGACTATGACACTAAGTGTGATGTGATAGGATGACTGTGGACAAAAGCTGGAGTGTTTTTAGTCATTAGAAACATCGTGGTTCTAAATAAATTAAGCTGGTTATCATAAATAAAGCTGGCCAAGAACACAGATATACACACTGCATACATTTCTGTAGCTGCCCTAAGTGAAGCTGTATGAAACATGAAGGGAGGAATGAACACTAGGGCATCTAAGATAACAGCAAGGAGCTGTGCTTACCCTTTCTCTTCTCTCAAGGGCAGCTTTTTTACAGTTCCTTCCATAGCTCTTCTGTAAATGAGTTCTTTGTGCATGGCTTGACAGATTTGAACAGTCAAATCTTCCATATGGATGAAAGAGTCTAATGAGAAGTCCTGGTAATTATGGTAATTATAGTTGCGATAGGATTTTATAAGATCATGATATGTAATCTGAGTCATGTTTTTCTGCAGGAGTGAAAGAATATAGATCCAAATATATCCTGGTCTAACACAGAATGTACACGTATTTAAATATAACCTACTAGCTCCTTTCTCTTGTGTTCTCATATTTTCAAAATTTACACTGGCATTAAACTTATTTGCATTTTTAAAGAATTTGAGTGATTAAGTCTGGATATAGAGAAGAAATTCTGTGAATTGTTTCCCTTGCAGTTACCTTGAATTCCAAATTACATGTTTTGTGTCATCTTCACAAATGTCAAAGTAGCTCCTCTGGCAATTTATAGTGTAAACCAGAATTTTTGATATTGATCGTGGATGCAGTACAGAAGGCTAATGGGTACGAATTAAAAGCTTAAATATACAGCAGAGAAAAATACTTGTGCAGAAGGTAAAGAAAATGGGGATGATAGGATGAATAAATTCACTAAAACTGGTTCTACTGTTCTGAGCATATTATGACTGTAGTGTTATACCAATAATGTGATTTTTTTTTTCTGAAACCTGCAAAAGAGAATTGCATCATATTTTCTTCTTCTGATGCCTAGTCCATTTACTTCCAGATTGCATTTCTCACAAAAAGCCTTACTTTGCAAAAAATACTTTTCCTGATATTTTTTCTGCAGTAAACTTTTCCTTCCAGACGTTGCATAAGTAGTGCTATCTGAATTGATGCTGTAATTTTATCAGCCTGGCATCTTTTTCATTCCTCCTTAGGTAGAATTTGAAATCAATAAAACATACTGACATTTGTGGATCTTCTCCCAGATCTGCCCAGTAGATATCTGGGATGTGCAGTGGATGGGATATTTGAGGGGGCGGTAGTTCCTCCAAGACTATTAGCTGTTTAATCTTTAGCCCACAGGTTGGAGACAGGACAGCTCAGGCAGTTGGTAATGGGATAAAGCTTTTCACCTCTGAATTGCCAACTCTGGGCCAGATTAGTAGGACACAATATTTCCACCATCTGGTGTCTGGTCACTGACCCATATGAGGGAAATCAGTGGCCATTCCTGCTACTGGGAGTGGGAGGGGGCGGGGGAACAGCTTTACAATTCTCCCCACCCCCCCACAAACACTGTGTGAGAATGATTGCACCACAAACAGCTCCAAATGAGSATGAGAACTGAAAACCGCTCTAGAAACTTGATGATCAGGACTCAGCACGCTAAAGGGAGTGTGGGAAAATTTGTCAGCATGAGCTGTCAGGAGATGCTGTTTCACTGGGAATATTCAGTTTAGAGAAAGCTAGATTTTAGAAAGCAAACAACTGATTGTTCTTGGCCAAAAATAACAACAGCTTATAAGAAAAGTAACTTGATTTTTCTGTGATGCAGAAAAGCTGAACTTCAAAAGGCAAATACCCTCCAACAGTATTTCTTGTTGGCATATGATGTCAATATTCAAATAGGATAAAAAGGATAATCTATTCAAATATGTAAAGTTTTTGCAATCTGAGGTAGGTTACCTAGATTTAATGAATAAGGAAATATGAATCAATATKCCAAGTTTGGATTATTTGCACATAGCACTTCTGGACACTGAATCCTTTTCCTATTTCAGAAATAAGGCCAGGTGTAATTACAGAACCTGTGAATTG